GGAGGGAGAGGGAGAGGGGAGGGAGAGGGAGAGGGGAGGGAGAGGGAGAGGGAGAGGGAGGAATGGCTTCGGGGAAGGAAGAGGAATGGCAGAAAGTGGCATTTGGGGGAAGATTTAGATCGCTCAGCAGTCGAGGTACATAACAGAGATCTGTTTCGAGGTCATAGAATGTGGTGGATTATTGGTAGGGACCCACAAGGATCGCCGAGTCCAGCTCCTGACTGCACACAGAACTGCCCCAAAATCAAACCCTGTGTCTGTTACAGCTGTCTGAATATTTCTTGACCTCTTGCAGTTTGGATACTGTTACCACTGCCCTGGGGAGCCTGTTCCAGTGAAATATGTCTTTAAATAAGCCTTTCAAATGAATCAGTGAAAGAACTTGTTTGCTAAAGGAAAACCTATGTCAAAAAGTTTACATTTAATCTATTGATGATGTTTTATTCAGTCTTGATTGAACTGTTTTCATAATATTCATTATCTGTGTTCATCTTTTATAGTAAGTGATTATGATCAGCTAGATTTTGCTGTTGGAGATATTTAGGATCCTGTTTCAAAGTTTTAATCTGGGCAGCCATCTGCTGTTTGTTATTCATGGTGCTCCAGTCTTCAGTTAAGCAATTAGGTCCTCTCTTGAGTCTCTTAATATTGAAGGCTTTTGAAGGGGAAATACAATAAATATTTGTTTCACCATAAGGTATCCAAAGCTATAGGGCACGTGTCAGTAACTCTTTACAGGGTGAATGCCTTTACACTGCTGTGTGACATCCTCAGTCTGGGTTTTTCCCTTAGTTGGAGGCAAAGATGAGATCAGAGATGAGAGATTTAAAGTAATAGTTGTGATCAGCTGTGACACTAAGGGATGGTTCTACATTTTTAGTATTTACAAAGAATGATGCACAAATACCATAATTAGGAGAAGACCAGGGCTTGAAAGGAGACTCTTGAGATAAGAGATCATGAAAATCATGTTAGGTAGTAAAGCGAGCACCACAGCTGTGTGTTGAGATGTTTGTTGTTGAGCAAGTCTGCCTGACTGTTGGGGACATCAGTGTCCACAGCATAGGAGAATAGCCCAGGTGCAAGAATATTAAACAGAGCTGAAAGGTCTAAAAAACTAGTAAGAAAGAAGGCAAATTTGAGGCAGGTCTCCTAAAAACCTTAAGGTCAAGCATTAGGTAACTCTGCAAAGGACAAGAGATGCAGCAGAAAACTAAAGAAATTATCTTCAATGGTAAATGTGTAATAAAGGAATGAATTAAAGCCAAAATCAACATAGGTTGCCAAATACTTCCGACAGGTGACTGCATCTTGGAAAGAGGCAAATGTATAATTACTTGGACTGGTTTTAGCCCTTGTTCGTTAATCATTTTTTTTCTAATACTCCTGGTATTTCAGGCAGCACATTATTAAAATATTAGTGTTTGGGCTTTTTTTTCCCCGTGTTTCTTTGAGTGGGTTTACTTGTTGAATGAAGGCTCTCGAACTCAAAATTCTTGGGTTTCTTCATCACCAACTCAGTCACAGATCGGTGAGCACAGCCCATGTTTTACCTGTGTGTGCCCAGGGGCACCAAAAGCTGGCTGCCCCAATCCTCCCAGATGGATCAGTTTACCTTTGTCATTAGTCAATGTTAAGGGAAGTTTGGGTATTTTCTTTGATTTTATGAAGTGGTAATGCATTGGGTCAGGGTGTTTTTAACAATTTTGTATTGCTAAAGAACAGTAAGAACACTTTTTTTTTTTTTTTTTTTTTTTTTTTTTCTCAATGTACTGTAGAGGATATCATACCTTTGCAGACAAAAGTGTAGTGCACCTTTGGGCTGGGGAAGCCTCGGTGACATTTCTGGGGTGACCAGGTGGAAATTACGTTATTTCTTCTGTTATCAGTCAAGCAAACAATAAGCTCCAACGTTGATTGGGTATCGTATATATTTATATTATATATTGCATGCAATGGTCCCCTGGCCATATTTACATGGTGTGTGAACTAAGGTGGGTGCATACTAATGTTGCAGTACCTGCAGTCAGCCCCCTGCAGCTGTAACAGGTACATCAATGATTTACTTCAAGGAAAATGCAACGTTCAGACACTCCCAGGTGCTCCTGGAGTTAGAAAATTGTAATAACAGCAAATACATGTGCTGGGGCCGACCATGGATTGCCCTGGTGCATACAGGATAGAAACCTTTCTGGGAGGTTTTGCTGATCTGTGAGGTTACAAAGAAATCTATCGATTTTTATTTATTTATTTATTTTCTTATATCCAACTTCTGGCTGTGCTCCCGTTTTTTTAAAGGCCCAGATACTTCATATAATAGAAGTGCTTTTTACTTGGCTGGCATTTCTCAACTGCATAAAGAAGCAGTGAACACTGCTAGGGTTAAGTTCTCTTCTAGCCTCTCGGTTTTGATTGATCGGATCTCGTGATGACAGTAAGCTCTCAGAGAAGGAAGCTGGAATCCGAGGAGTCCAGAGGGGATTGTCAGGGTCGAAACCAGGGGGTAAATTGCTGCGAAGGTCACTTGAGGAAAGGTTTTCCAGGAGGTGTTTTGCAGCGCATTCTGCCCTTTCTCAGCTGCTTAGAGGGCGGGGGGGGCAGACAGCTTTGATTTTCATACATGGGCTGTTATCTCTGCGTGGTATCAATTTGTCTCTCCACACAGTTCCTAAGCCGTCCTAAATGCAAGAGCTTTCTGGCGCCGGTCTTTACTTCTGTGCGAGCAATTCTCCCGTTGCAGCCTCTCAGTCCTCCCACCCAGCCGAGCCGTCCCATCCTGCTCTGGAGGTTGGATAGGAGCTCGCCTGTGGCTGCGAGTGATCAGACTGGGACTGTTACGGGAGAAACCCGCTTTCCCTCCTATAATCCGAATTCGTTTACTCTGTATAAAAGAGAAAGCAAGAAATAGGCTTTTTTTTTTTTTTTTTCCTTTTATTTTCCCGTCTCCCTTTTTAGTTTAACAAGGGTAGAGTCTACTGCCTCCCTTAATCGTGCTCTTAAAACCCCTCTGGGAGATGTTGTTCTCAGCCGGAGCGTGCTGGGACTGTGCTAACCCATGTTTAGCCGATGCCTGTCACTTCTTATACACGTTTCCCTTCCAGCCCGTACTCTGACAGCGGCGGGCGCATCGTCTGTCTGGAGCAGAAAGGGGGAGGGAGCGGGGGCTTCGCTGCGTCTCTCTCTCACGGAAACTCAGCCATGTCTTTAAGTCGGGGACCGCGAGCCTCTTCGCAGCAACGGGTCTCCGTAGGGAAGGGAAAAAAAAAAAAGAGAGAGAGAGAGAGAAAAGGCAAAAAGAAAGGTGTGTGGGGGGAAGTAGGAAAAAGAAGAAAAAGGAAAAAAAAAGAGGGAAAAAAAAGAGAAAGAGGTGAGGGAAAAGAAAAAGGGAGAAAAAAGAGGGAAAAAAAGGGGGATAGTAATAAAAAGACAGGAGTGGCGGAGGGGCAGCGGCGGGGCTCTCGCAGCCTCCACCCCCGGCACGCAGGTGACTCCGCGGCCTCTGGGTGGCGCCGCCGCCGCGGGCCGCCGCCGCTTGCCCGGTAAGAGACGAGCGGGGCCGCGGCGCCCGGCACAGAGAGCGGCGGCGGAGCGGGGGCAGCGCGGCGGAGCTCAGCGCAGCGGCCGCCTCTCTCCGCGCACGGCGGCGGCGGAGCTGCGCGGGACCAGGGCGCCTCCCGCACCCGGAGCGAACTTCTCGCCTTGCCGCCGGTGCGCCCCGGTGCCCGCTCGCTGGGAACTTGGGCTGCTCGCTGAAATATTGGATTATGTTCCTGCCGAGCCGGGCTGCGGGGAGCTGAGTAGGGGAGGAAGAATGCGGGTCTATTGGATGGTCTTCTGCCTTTGCTGCACCGCGAAGGGACAAGTGGTGTACTCCATCGCCGAGGGAACAGAGCGAGGAGCGTTTGTCGGAAACGTAGCGAAGGATTTAGGAATAAACGCGGCTGCACTTTCAGCCCGGAAATTTCGCATGATCACCGGTTCAAGTAAGCAATATTTTAATATAAACGCAACCACGGGGGTTTTATCAGTTAACGAGCCAATAGACAGAGAGCAGCTTTGTGAACTAAAATCTGCGTGTCTTCTGAATTATGAACTTGTGCTAGAAAACCCTCTAGAGCTTTATAGGATGGAATTTAAAGTCCTGGATGTAAATGACAACTCTCCCAGCTTTCCTTTAAGTGAATATCGTGTAAGTGTGCCTGAGTTCCTGTCACCTGGGGCAAGGTTTGCGCTCCCTACTGCCCAAGATCTCGATGAAGGTACTAACGGTGTCCAGAATTATATTCTGAACCCTGATGACCATTTCCATTTGGAAATGCAGACACGCGGGGACGGAAGTGTGTATCCTGAATTGGTGCTGAAGAAAGCCTTAGACAGGGAACAGCAAGCCACTCACGGACTTGTTCTTACAGCCAAAGATGGTGGCGATCCTCCAAGGTCTGGTGATGTCCCTGTCGTTGTGACTGTTCTGGATACCAACGACAATGCACCAGAATTTGAGCAGTCAGTCTACAGGGCGAGTGTCCTGGAAAACTCCCCCAGTGGCACATTGGTGGTGCAAGTGCATGCCACGGACTTGGATGAAGGTCCCAATGGAGAGGTCGCGTATTCGTTTAGCAATGCTACAGCTGCTGACCTACAGCAAATGTTCTTAATTCACCCGCACACCGGGGAGGTGACAGTCAGTGGCGATTTAGCAGTTCAAAGACCTCTCCTCGAGATGCTTATTGAAGCAAGGGATAAAGGGGCATTTGCCCTGTCAAGCACAGCTAAGCTGCTGGTGGAGATCACTGATGTGAACAATCATGGCCCAGAGATAACGATTGCATCCCTTTCCAATCCCATCCCTGAGGATGCTGTTCCTGGCACGGTGATAGCACTGCTGAGTATTGTGGATAAGGACCCTGGGGAGAATGGGAAAGTAACCTGCCAGATCCCTGATGACCTTCCCTTCCAGTTAAAACCTTCCCTGGAAAACTACTACAGCCTGGTCACCAGCGGGCTCCTGGACCGAGAGCTAATCAATGGGTACAACATCACCATCACTGCCACAGACTTGGGATCTCCTCCCATCACCACTCAGCAGACACTTTGGGTGCAGATTTCTGATGTGAACGACAACCCCCCTGTCTTTGCTGCTGACACATTTGATGTGTTTGTGGAGGAAAACAATCCACTTGGTGCTTTTCTCTACCAGGTCTCAGCCTCTGACCTTGATATAGGGGAGAATGGGCAGATCTCTTACATACTCAGGAATTCAACAGTTGCAGGCAGTGCCCTGACCAGCTTTTTGTCTGTGAGCTTGGTCAATGGGAGCATCTATGCAAAACGTGCCTTTGACTTTGAGCAACTTAGAAGCTTCCATTTCCAAGTGGAAGCCAAGGACAGTGGGTCGCCAGCCCTGAGTGCTGCCATGACTGTGAATGTTTACATCTCAGACCAGAATGACAACGCCCCAGCCATCCTGTATCCCATCAGCCAGAATGGCTCAGTGGCAGTGGAAGTTGTGCCCCGCCTGGCTGACGAGGACTATCTAGTGACCAAAGTGGTGGCAGATGATGAGGACAACGCAGAGAATGCCTGGCTCTCCTATCACCTTGCCCACTCTACTGACTCCACGCTGTTTCACTTGGCACCGCACTCGGGTGAGCTACGCACCGCTCGCTCCTTGCGCTCCACTGACCTCCTTAAGCACAAGGTGGTAGTGGTGGTGCGGGACCATGGGGAGCCTCCACTCTCCTCCACGGTGACTGTGGGCATCCTGCTGGCTGACACTCTGCCCCAGGCTCTGCCTGACTTCGATGACAATGGGGAGCCACGGCCGCTGCTCAACGCTACAAACATCTACTTGATTGTTTCTCTTGCTTGTGTCTCCTTCATCTTTACAGTGTTCCTCCTCTTTCTTGCCATTGCACGGCTGTGCCATTGCTGGGCTTGTCACCGCCAGGGCTGCTGCTGCAGCATTTGTTGCTGCTCAGCTGACGAGTATGAAAAATATCGATACAGTGTGCACATGCTTCCCAGCTCTCACCTCCCACCGGACATGCTGGAGGTCACTGGTGTGGGTAAACTGACTCACACTTACTTGTACAGGGCATCTGTAGGCCTTGGGCTTGAGAACAGCGGCATCCCAAATGGGGATGCTGGGAATGTTCCCAACGGCTCAAGGTTACAAGTGCCAGGACCCTGCATCCAGGTGCAGCAGATCCAAAGCGACCGTTTGAGTGCTGTCCTCATGGTAAGTACTTCTTCCTTTCACTTGTTTTCTCCCAATCGCGTGGCCACTAAGAAGCTCATCCAGGAGAGTAGGTGTAATTTTATGGCGCCCATAGGAAACTTCATATCCTTTTATGTATTTCCTAAAGCTAGAAGCTGACTGAAAGAAAGCTCTTTTTGGATTAGAGTATGGTTATAGTGTGGCAAAATGTGCGACACGCATTTAGGGTATGCAGACGTAGCTGAAGAGAAATACCTTGTAAGTTGAGCCATTCTATTCACATAGCTAAGTAGAGTCGTGATGAGAGTTCACACAAGTTTCTAATCAATGAGAGGTTTTTCTACATTTACACAACCAGTGATTTCTTTTCTAATTCTGGAGACTTTTTTCATTCATCAATTTAATGAGCCAGGATGCTGGCTTACAGCGTCCAAGTTAGGAATATGTTGAAATAGCAGGAATTCCATATTGAGAACCTCTTGAGAAAATGTCAAGTACCCGCCTCTCTTTTCAAACCCTAACATGTGATGGGTGACTGTGGAAGAAAATATGTTATTGTCATTACAGTGAAGGATTACAATGTGGGGTATGTTTACAGATCATATTTGTTGGGTGTTACCAGGTCACTTGTCCAAGATACAGTTTTCGTCTATGCAAAGTAACATTAGTTGTGTTTGTAATAGGTGTTTTGCATTTTAAGTATATTTTTGTGAAGTTTTGAGATGTTTTGTCTACACACTACCAACTTTCCCTACTATGCGTAGCAGATAACTAATGTGCGGATCCAGCAGTTATGGGACCTAAAAGCATCATCGTTATTGTGAGCCAGATGAATTGCCTAGAAAGGCTCAGTCATTTCATTTGTTTTTTACTGTAATATTTAGTACTGTAATTAAAGAGTGATTTTTCTTAGTTACGTCAACTTTGGATGCCTCAGTTTAAGTAACTCAGCGAATCCTGGCCTTCAGAGTACTTTCTGAAACTCAACACACACCAGAATGTCTCAAGTTCCAACTCTCCAGTTAGAGACAGTCACATGGTTGGACTAGATGATCTTAGTGGTCTTTTCTGATCTTAATGATTCTGTTATTCTGAATGAGTCTACATCAGTGCTTTTTAGGACTAAGAACAGTGGCCAGCTCTGTCCAGGCCAACATTCTGTGCTAAGAGCTGTTCCAGATGTTCCCAAGGCAAAGGTAGGAACCCTTGGTAGACAGGTACGATAATAATCTGTTTCCCACAGTTTTTGTCCTTATAAACAATTACTGGAGATTGTAGTAAGTTTGTAGTTGTGATGCTTATTTCACTATTACACTTTTTAATGCTTGGAAATGGCCAGTCCCCTTTTGAACCCGGGTGTATGGGTAGCTTCAGTAACTTCTTTGGCTAACAAATATACATTCATCTAGACAGTGTCTGAAAAATACTTCCTTTTATAACTCTTAAACTTTTGTGTAGGTTCATTGTTCACTCTTAACTATGCTATGTTTGTTGTGTCTTTTCGCCTTTTAGTGAGGTGAAATAGTTTTGTAGGTTGGTTTTTTGCTCTCTTTTCTGAACACTTTTCACACAGAAATCCTATTCTCAAGGAAGGATCTTTTCTCAAATATATGCTACTTGATTGACTCCTGATGATCTACCTAGTATTTAACTGAAAACCTGGACAGTTTTAAGCCACTGCAGTGGAATAGAGAACTGTGCCTCTCAATAAGAAAATAGCAGTTGACAGTATCAAAAGAAGAGTTTGTTCCTATGCTTTGGTGTATTTTGGAAATATCATTGATTATTTGGAGGATCTCAATAAAAGCCTCCCACAGTAAAAGCTTTCTAGCAAGGAATTGAAAAATTTTTGGCTATCGCTTAATTCAGGGTTTGTTTTCAGAAACACTGATTGTGTCTTAAAAGTGTATCCTTGGCTGTAGAGTAAGTCATAATTGCAAAACTTTTATAACAAAGGTGATACGAAAGACCATTTTTACAATTAATGTCTGTGTTCCTATTGAGCAAAATCTTGAAACTCGGGTTGCTAAAATATTAATAGACTGAGTAATAATAAAAAATGCAAATGCATTCCCGTTCTTTGTAATAGGAACAACCAAAATTACTTCTGTCTACATGTCAGCCATTCAGGTAAACTTTTAGCCTTGAGATGTAATAGACATTTTTAAGAGCTTTCCATAGTGGGGAAAATAAATCCTGGATGTTTTCTTTGGCAAATTTCTTTCCTTTGCTCTTATATTCAGGAATGGGTGACCATAGATGTGACAGGTGTGAGAAGTCCAAAGGCTGTGCATTAGTTGTGTTGAGCAGAAGAGTAAGGAAGAAGGCTCAGAACTACAAAAATTCATCTATTCTTAGGAACAAAATGATAACAGTTATTATTAATTCGGTGCTGATGATCATAGTGATTAGCATGTAGAACAATTAACAACATGTGTATAATATAGAGTATTCAGCTCTGGGGATCTCAGCGTATCACAGAGTCACAGAATGGCCAGGGTTGGAAAGGACCTTGAGCATCATGAAGCTCCAGCCCCCCTACCACATGCAGGGCCACCAACCTCCACGTTTCATAGCAGCCCAGGCTGCCCAGGGCCCCATCCAACCTGGCCTTGAGCACCTCCAGGGATGGACGGGGCATCCACAGCCTCTCTGGGCAGCTGTTCCAGCACCTCACCACTCTCTCAGTAAAGAACTTCCCCCTGACATCCAATCTAAATCTTCCCTCCCTCAACTTCAAACCATTTCCCCTTGCCCTGCTGTTATCTACCCTTTCAAAGAGTTGATTCCTCTCCTGTTTGTAGGCTCCCTTTAGGTATTGAAAGACTGCAGTGAGGTCACCCTGCAGCCTTCTCTTTTCCAGGCTGAACAAGCCCAGCTCCCTCAGCCTGTCTTCAAAGGGGAGGTACTCCAGCCCCCTGCTCATCTTTGTGGCTCTCCTCTGGACCCCCTCCAACAGCTCTCTGTCAAAGATGAACATGAACTATTAGAGCAGGTCCAGAAAAGGCTACAAGGATGATCACCTCCCTGTGGAGGCTGGCTGAGGGAGATTAACCTAGGGGAGAGAAGGCTCTGGAAAGACCTCCAGTCGCTAAAGGGGAGCTACTGGAAAACTGTGGAGGGACTTTTTATCAGACATTGCAGTGACAGGATGAGGGGTAATGGTTTCAAACTAAGAAATTATAAATTTACATTAGATATAAAGAAGAAACTCTTCTTGATAAGGGCGGCAAGGCCCTGGGCACTGCTGTCCAGAGAGCTGTGGGTGCCTCATTCCTGGTTGTGCCCAAGGCCAGGTTGGATGGGGCTCAGTCTTGGAGCAACCTGGTCAGGTGGATGACAACCAGCTCACAGCAGAGCTCTCGAACTGTTTGGGCTGCAAGATCCCTTCCCAATCATTCCATTATTCTATGACTCTACTTATTTCTTGCAGAAATCCCGAGTTACAAAAATCAGGAGTGGGTGGAAGATACAGTTGCTGTACTTGGATTCCTTTGCCTCCTTTGGGATTGCCAAGTTATAGAATAAAGTGAAATAGAACAATTTGGAAGAGATTCTTGGAAAATAGTTTCCAGTTATCTTGGGTAGAAAAGAGAACTGTCACTCGTTCTTGAAAACTGTTCCTTTTACCAAATCCCTTTCGTTGCTCTATTATTGAATGGTTTACTCCTTTTATATTAGAATGAGAGGACAAGCATTTTTTCAGCATTTACCAATGGATATTTTGGTAAAAAATAGCATGTGAGTTTGCTCATTGAATTTTGTGTTCACGTGCTTTCAGACCAACTCATTTGGATTTACAGATATGAGCATTACTTTACCCTCTGAACTAAAATGTAATAAAAAGTAAGCATCAAATATTTAAAAGGAAAAGGGAGCAAATCCTTTGTTACAAAGCAAGGCACTGGGAATGACTCCAAAATTATAATGTAATCAGAAGTTAAATCCCCAATTTAAAGAAGTATTCTTAGGATTATAATTTTTAGTACCTGGAAGACAGAGAAATGTCTACGTATAGTACAAGGTTAGTGGAAGTTCCAGAAATTAAATGTGTTTTCAAAATTTAGGTTTATTTATTTATACTTGGTCCTCTTTTGATACTGAATTGAATGACAGGACTGAATGCTTTTTACATATACGGAAGTGTGAGACCATTTTGTGCTTTAACATCTTCTATTTAGGTTAGTACTAAAAATAGAACTTAGGCCACAACTGCAGTAAACTGTAACTGTACATCTTTCAGCATCTTACCGTCTCTTTGTGCAGTGTAGCATGTGTGACAGCCAAGTGAAAAGCATTTTACGTGGCAATGCTGCATTGCTGTATTAGAGACAAAGGCATTAGTGGCTTTACTGACTAAAGGAAGCATTAGTTCACTGGGGTCATTAGTTTTTGGGGTCATGATGTGGCCATGGATTGTTGCAGTGTTTTTGTTTGCTTGTTTTGTCCATTAGGTGCACAAAAGGCCTGTAAGGTATTAGCGCATTCGGAGCATAGTGAGCTCTCTGTGATTTTGCACTCAGTATTTAGGTTACATCGACAAGAACAGACACCAGTGTGGCAGTGGAGAATATTTCCTGGTAAACTGTAGTGGCAGTAGGATCATTTCATGCTAAGTGGCATGAATTTCAAGCAATGAAAGTAGATGCACTTCTTGACAGTGGCATGCAATCTGGGCTGAGATGCTGCAGGCTAAGCATCAGTGGCTTGTCACAGAAGTAAGGACCAGCCATGTAATTTCCCTATGCATCTCATTCTGATGGGCCTCATAACTTAACCAAATAGAAAGGTAAAGCGCCATGCCATTTCCTGCCGTCTGTACAGATAACAACCTGCCCAGATACAGCAGGCTTGTGCCCACTTTTTAAGACATCAGATGTGGAGGCAGATTTCTTGGCTACAGAAGTTACTCCTGGAATCAGGCCAAGAAAATCCTTGAAACAGCAACAACCGAAGGAATTTCAGCAGTGGGGAATTCAGTAGATTTCCCTCCTTCTGACCACTTACCTTTCCCAAAGAAG